CTATAGAAGTGCATTCTCTTCCGTTTTCGTGTCTTTGATATCTTAACTTTCCCTTTGCAGGAGACTGTAATTGTATGATCAACCTTTATGAATTCGAAACACAAAAGTTATTCATCACAGAACTAAAAATAGAAAAGAAGAATTAGTGAGAAATCCAAGGATGGCAACTTATTTTCCTAGTCCAAACAATCAAAGAGAAGCTGAGACATTTCAATATTTTAGGCAATCTTTGCCTGGTTCTTATTCAGAAGCTTCAAATGCTCAAGAAAACATGATGGTGTTCATGAACTATTCTTCTTCTGGGACATATTCAGATATGTTGACTGCTACTTCCCAACAGCAAAACAGCTGCATCGATATCCCACCAGTTGGAGCCTCCGATTCCAACAACACATCACAACAGGAAATATTATCTAATCTTGGAGGATCGCGGATGGGAATTCATGATTTTTCTGCTTGGAGAGATAGCAGGAATGAGATGCTATACCTCAGTCTTGGCTCCAATATACCTTCTGGAATTGGAATTTCACATGTCCAATCTCAGAATCCTAACCAAGGTTTTACGTCATTCTTGAATCCTCCTTCATCTATTCCAGGTGAAGTTAGTGGTGGCAATGTGTCCTTCGGAGATGGTGATAATTCCCAACCAAAACAACAAAGAAATGCAGATTATTTGCCTCCAGATTATCCTGGAAGCAACTCAGAAGCTATGAAAGGAGGGTATAATTCTCCATATGGTACGTCGAGTATTGGAAGAAACGTTCCCAACTCAAAGTATTTGAAAGCAGCTCAGTATTTGCTTGATGAGGTTGTTAACGTCAGAAAGGCTATCAAGGAGCATAATTCTAAGAAAGAGTTGACAAAGGAGTCTAGAGAGTCTAATGGCGACTCGAAAAATAAATCATCAGATCCTCCTGCAAATGGGAGTACAAATCCTCAAGATTCGAAAAACCACCAAAGTGAACTTTCACAAACCGAGAAGCAAGAAGTGCAGAACAAACTGACCAAGCTTCTGTCCATGTTGGATGAGGTATGATCCATGGGAAATCGTGTTTTGTACATCAATTTTTGGTGGTTTTCAAGGTTTTTGTGGCATGTATTTTCTCATTAGTTTAGGATTTTAATACTCTACATCCCAAATTTTGTATTTCTACTGATAATTGCATGAAAAGAGTCAAAGTAGTGGTTGTTGTGTTAAGGACTTCTTTGACGGTTCATACTAATCTTTCCGTTGGCTACCTTGTCCCGAAGGACCTTTAATTGTGATGAAATGTGCTTCTTTTGATATATTACAATGTGGCCGAGGAAATTATTATGAATAAAGCAGCTTGTCTGATGGAACTTTGAACTCCAGACAGCATTTAGAAAGCTGTTGTTAAATAAATTCCATGAATTTGGTAATGAAATAGCATACTTTAAATAATCACTTCATATATGGATAATGAAAGAGAATGAAGTGTTCTAATAGTATCACTACTGTATTTCCAATGAATGGCTTCTCTAAAAAGGCAAACTTAAACTATAAGGCATGACTAACTGCAGTATTATACAAGCTTTACTCTTGGTAAGAAATTTGCACTAACTGGTATAATAGTATCATTACTATCATTGTTTGTGTTCATTTAATGAAGGGCAATTGTAGTACGTTGGCATCCTTCTTTTTGATTCATCCGCTACTGCCAGAGTTTCTAGTAATCAAGTTTATGAATGCTACTGATGGTAATATGAGTTCACAACAAGGATTTGTAGTAGGTATTATTCCTAAATGTTGATTCCTCCTTCACATTTTTTATGTTGATATGTGTCTAGATTTGTAATGTAGGAGCGAATAACGTGCCTTAAAGACTATGGATTCTGGAATTTAAACCATATGTGTGATTTGAATAAAAACTCGAAGTTGAGTTATGGTTTATTGTCACAGATTGATAGAAGGTACAGACAATATTATCATCAGATGCAAATAGTGGTCTCATCATTTGATGTGGTAGCTGGAGATGGAGCAGCTAAGCCATACACAGCTCTTGCTCTCCAGACAATTTCCCGTCACTTCCGTTGCTTGCGTGATGCAATGTGCGATCAGATTCGAGTATCACGAAGAAGTCTTGGAGAGCAAGATGCTTCAGAAAACAGCAAAGCGGTTGGAATATCACGCTTGCGCTATGTGGATCAGCATATTAGACAGCAGAGAGCCCTACAGCAGCTTGGTATGATGCAACAACATGCCTGGAGGCCTCAGAGGGGTTTGCCTGAAAGCTCTGTTTCAATTTTGCGCGCTTGGCTTTTCGAGCATTTTCTTCATCCGTAAGTTGATCAATTCAGTCATCCAATTTATCTCCGAAAAAGAACTCTGGTCGCCTAATTTGTAGTTGTTTCTCTTTTTCCAGCTACCCGAAAGATTCTGACAAAATTATGCTAGCAAGGCAAACTGGTTTAACGAGAAGTCAGGTATAATGTCTTACTATTTGCAAATGCTAAGATATATTATAGCCCGTTTGGCCAAGCTGCAAAAATCAGCTTATTTTGAGAAGTGCTTTTTTTCAAAAGTGCTTTTATCAAAAGTACTTTTGGTGAGAAGCAGTTTGTGTTTGGCTAATTAGTTTGAAAAGCACTTCTGAGCAGCAATTCGTGTTTGGCCAAACTTTAAAAAACTGCTTCTAAGTGTATTTTTCTCAAAAGTGCTTCTCAAAAAAGTGTTTTTGAAGAGAAGCTACTTTTTTCTGCTTCTCCAAAACTGCTTTTGCTTCTCCTCAAAAGCACTTTTTTTCCTTCCAGAAGCTTGGGGCCAAACACCTCAATTTTTGGCCAAACGGGCTATTAGTCTTTCTTGAAGCCAACAAATGGATGTTTATGTTTCTTCAAAAGAATTGTTTTAATAGAAGACTCTCTAAGACAGTGCGTATACGCTTATTAGTGATCTCAAAATAGTGAAAGTTGGCATGCTAGAGATTGATTATTATAAGAATGACATTGTTCCTTCAGCATGTGTATTTTTATATCTGAAACATTTTCCATTGGTCTTACTTTAGTGAGTACATTTTTCCTATCTTTGACTTGCAGACCTTAGGTACGTCGATTATTGCATCCTGGAGTGGAATTATTTGTTCATGAAAAGAATGTTTATTAGCTAGTGATCATCCAGATGAAAAAAGCAATAGAACATGTTGAAACTACGGTCTTCTTACCATGAGTCGCTCTAAAATGCTAGGGCTGTATAAAATCTTTAAATGTGACATTTATGGTACCCAGGCTGTTTGTTTCTCATAGTCATCTTATAATTAAAGTTTCCAGTGTCAAGGTATTTCAGTATTTGCTGCAGTCAGGATAAGTTGCCAGGTTTAACTGCCTTACGGATCTGCATTAAACACTTCAGTCAGTTAACCACCAGTGTTGGAAGTTTCTACATCACTGATAACATTCAGGGATCATTTAGTCGTCAACAATTATTGGCCTTAACTGATTAGAAGTTTATTGAAAAGGAGTTCTTGAATTTTAAGTCGATTGAATCATTTAAGTCCAGTGGCAAAGGGCTCCTTCCTGCATCTGTGCAGCTACTCAAAGATTTTAAATTTCGGCAGGAAAACTTTAATGCACTGAACAGAGTCTTCAGTTTGTTAAAGAAAATTTCATTTGGTTTCAAACAGTAGGCAGTTTCCAATGGAAAATATATTGTAGGCGTTTGGTTCTTTTGCATTAGTGGGCGTTTGATACTGGCTTAATATTTCGTTAACTGATGTCATGTCTCAGGTATCAAATTGGTTTATAAATGCACGGGTACGTCTTTGGAAGCCTATGGTTGAGGAAATGTACAAAGAAGAAGCTGGTGATATTGAAATGGACTCAAACTCTCCATCAGAATTTGCCTCCAGATTTGCAACGAAAGACTCAAAAGTCGAAGAAATAGAAGAATTGAAACATAATGAAACCTCAGAATATGAGCAGTACAATAGTGACCAAATCTTGGAGTCAAAATCAAACCATGTTGCTGATGTAGAAATGGAAGGAGCAAATAATGCAGAAACTCAAAGTCAATCTGGAATGGAAAATCAAACTCATAGAGACGAACCCCGGCCTGCTATGGATAATTGCACTCTTTTTCAGGACACATTTGTTCAAGGCAATGATAGATTCTCAGATTTTGGTAGATTTGGAAGTGGAAATGTACTTCCTGATGGAGTTTCACTTACATTGGGGTTGCAGCAAGGTGAAGGAAGCAGCCTACCGATGTCTATCGAGTCTCACGGTAGTTATGTACCATTAAGGGTAGATGAGATATATAGTACAGCACCTACTACTATGGTCTCTGAGACAACAGAATTCAACTGTTTGGATTCTGGGAACAGGCAGCATCCTTTTTGGCTCCTCCCATCTGCTACATGATTTAGTAGCATGATATGTGACGTAGAATTAAACTGCAAGTTTCATCCAAGAGGCATTCAGCTTCGCTCAGCTGGTTACTCTAAAGCTTGCAGTCAAGTTCACTGTGATGTAATAGTCTCATTAATCAATGTTGTAATATAGCAAACTATTGGATGGGAAGTTCCCCAAGTTATTAATTCTGTAAAGTCTGTAAAGATATAACAGATATTATTGTTTTTGATAGTTGGAATTTGGTATACAGTCGGTCCCAACTTGCTTGAGATTGAACATAGTTGTTGTATAGTTGGAAATATGTTATATACATTTCCTGATCTCTTAGCCTCAGCCTAGTCTCATATTGTATCTTCTTTTCCTACCCAAGCAGAACTTTGAGAGCCAGCTTCATACCAAGTTTTGTGCTGTCACAGATCACCAAGAGGGTTAGAGAAGATTTCGTGGTGGTAGATCTCTAAGTTCCAAACTATTTCTGCTGCTAATCAAGTTTAATCAACCTCATAATTCAAACCGGTCCTTTTCGAGGTGCAAAAAAAAAAAAAAAAAAAAAAAAAAAAAAAAAAAAAAAAAAAAAAAAAAAAAAAAAAAAAACGAGAGGGGAAACGATAGCAAAGTAACCTCGGTGGAAGTGAGGTCTACGAATTTCCTTTCAGATCTCTATCTATAACATCTACTACGGAATAAGATTAAAGAGGAGGCACAATAAAGAGATTTACACAACAAGAAGTCTATGACATGGAAAAATATTTACAATCAGTTTGAACATTGACATGTTCTGGACAAAAATAATTGCCAGATAATATGCAGTCTGCAAATAACACAGCATTTCCTGTCAGACCCCCCTAAGCTTTCATTGGCACAACGGATCCACCATTTGTTAGATGACCACATCTACACTTGAGCTGTTTGATACTTCTCAATCAGTCTACCTGAAAATGGAAAAAGGGATCAGAAATACTAGTCAAAATACCATAGAAAGTATCCACTCAGAAAGTAATTCTCGCTGACCTTTTGTACAGAGCCACCACATCCTCATTAAGACGTGGTGATTCCAAAAACATATCATCACAGTTTTCAATATTGACAGTCTCCATCTCAAAATCGGGCTGGGCATAATACTCACTCCACTCAAACCACAACTTTGCAATAGACTCCTTTTTAAAACAAGTTTGATGATCTTCCTCCTCAGGTGAA